CCCCCCGAATCTAAGATGGGTTCCCTCAGACTTCCCTTCCATGCAGGCTGTGCTGAAGAACTGCTTCCTTGGTCATGGGCAAGACTGTGGGGCTACTCTTGCCCAAAGTGCTTGTGTTCCTAGATAATTTGTTTTGTCATCATCAGAATAACATCTACCCTTAAGTGTGCAACTTTCTAATTAGGAAACTGAGGTCACTAATGGGAAAGAACCAAATATTTTCCTTGTAGATTAACCTATTTAGTTTGTAATGGTATTTCCTGACACACGTTCTGCTTTGGGTCGCTGCTAGGCCAAAGCTGGTCTGTGACCACATCCATTTTGCATACTGCCTTGTTCTTAGAGGACGTGGAGCACCATAAGAACATGAATGACCATTGTGATGGGATTGACACTCCATCTGCACTGGTGTTCTCCCTGTGATGGGATCTGCTTCTGGCCTGGGGAGGAGTTTAGCCAAGAAAGCACGTGGTGGGTCTTACCCAGATTCTTGGATGCTACGAAAGGAATTGGTGACTTCCTGTGCCAGAAGTGATTTCATTTGAAAAAGTCCCCCAATCCAGTGTTTCTCTCCTTCTACTGCCTGTCCCTCCAAGTGCCTGGCCACAGCGTGGTATTTAGCTCTGCAAATGTTGGAGTTGCATCTGTGCAGCCTGCAGATGTCCCAAAATTAATGTTTGGCCTCCTGCCTTGAAAAGATTGGACTGGGGGACGGGGGTGTGCTTTAACATGCCAGAAAGCTGAGTGTGTAGTGGCCTGCTTGTCTTCTGGGGGAGACAAGCTTGGGATGCTCATCTGAGATCCCGTGTTGTGCATGAAGTTAAGTGCTTTGAAGAACTGTATACTCATCTGAAACATCTTGTTGATGTAGAATTGTTTTAGTTATCTTACAGATAATAATTGTCTTTGCTGCTATCCCCCTGAAATGTTTTGGGTGCTGGCATTGCTTTGCTTCCTGCCCCCAAGCATCGGTTTTAACCAAAACACTGAAGGTATCTCAGTTCCCTGGAGTAGCTGCAGGCCACAGGGTGAATGCTGTTTTGACATCTCTCTTCTGGGAAGCTTTCCTTGTGTTGAGCCTGGGTTTGACCTGTGTTGCTCTTAAACATGGTCCTCGCTGATCAGAATAATCTCCATGTGGCTGCTCCAAGAGTAGGAGAGGCATTGGTTTCAGGGTCTAACACCTCCCTGAGGCTTGTCTGGAATCTGATGCTTCCAGTCACTTGTGATCTGCGGAGATGAGATCCTTTCTTACAAGGAGACTTTGGGTTGTTTGGCCTGGCAAAAAGGAGGCAGGGGGGAAGGGTAGAAAGCTGGGAGGACAGCTGTCTGTGCTCAGGATATATTCATTTGATCTTGCAAAAACGTTGTCTTGTAATTCAGGCTGGCGGAGGGAAGAGAGCTTCAAATCCATCAGAGCAGTGAAACTGGAAGCAGCCTTTAGTAGCAGTGGCGGAGGATGAGGGATTTCAGCTTAAGTTGATGAATGAAGTAATGTTACATAGCTGCCTGTGGTAGCCCAGGATTTCTTTCCTATCATGCTAATTAGCACATCTTGTGAGCTCACTAATCGTTCCTGAGTAGGACTCTGAGGAAGCTACTTCAGAATACTTCGTGCAGCAGAGTTAATTTCACCATCAGCCCTCCAACTGTTGTTGCCCCGAGGGCAAATCCAAGTCAGCTCTGTTTTAGGCTTTACGGTTTTGTCCCTTCTGCTCTATGGGAGCTTTAGCTCCTATATTCTACTTCCTGCCATTATTGTTACTAGCAGGCGTTTTGGTCCTGTCAGATCCGCAGTCGCTGGTACCGCTGTTCTCAGGTTGGATTTGCATATAGTGTTTCAGGTTGCACAGATCTGTGTGCTCTGCTTCAGTATTTGTTGGCATTTTATTGTGGTTTTATTCCACTGCAGTTCCTGTCTGACTTGCTCTGTGCTTTCCTCTGCAGCTCTCTAACGCAGCTTTTCAAGTCATCTTCTGTTGACTCTTTCTTGTATTTTTCTCCAGAGATAGAGATTTAATTTTTTTGACCCTCTTTCTAAGGTCTCTACGTTTCCTTTGGCTCTTTGCCAGTGTTCACAAGTCATGTTATTTCAGTATCTGTAATTTAAACTGTGTGATATTTGCTCCCTCTTTCTGATCCTTAATGAAGATGTTAGAAATATCTTATCTTCCCTAGACACGTGGTGTTCATGAGATGTTATGCTCCCTCACTTTGGTATGGATTTGTTTGTCAGTGATCTGTTTATGGCTGTTCAAGCCAGCTGTCAGCTAATATCAGCATCCAGAGCTGCAGTGATTTGGTGTCCAACAAAATGCTAGTTGGCGCCCTTTGATTGTATGCTTTGTTACCTCCACCCGCACCCAATTGAAATGTACCACAGCAACTAAATCAATTGCTCCTTAAGCCTCAATCCAGTCAGTCTGGCAACATCCCTGCCTTATTGCCTTGTTTAGGTAAAATGTTATAAAAATTCTTCCTCCCTGATTTCCTGTGTTTCCTTGAGAGCCTTCCAAAATTATTCAGCTAAAACAAGATGACTGACAGCGTGAGAAACACAAGGTTGACAAGGCTAAGATGAGACTGGGATCTTCTCTTCTTCCCCTGAAGAATGCCAGTTGGAGGTGCTCTTTGTGTTCCCTGTGATAATACTTGTTTGTAACTTGGTGCTTGCTGTTACTGCGTTCTGTTCTTAGCGCCTGGGCAGCGCAAATGTTATTTCAAGATACAGTGAAAGCTTCTCTGCAGGATGTTTCCTAATTGGGCTCTCTGTGTTGCCTTCCAGAATGAACTGGACAAGACAAAGGCTCAGCTCTCCATGAAAGGTAAGTTCCAGCTGCCTGCAAGGGATCAGCTGGTCTGGGCTCTGTCTGTGTTAGGGGCTTTGTCTGGACCTGAAGGATCTGTATACAGAACTTGCCCCTCTCTGAAACTGAGGGAGTGGTGCTGGCCAGGAACTGCTTTGCTGGAGCAGCTTCTTGCAGAGCGTTTTCTGACAAGAACCCCTCCTAAAGCTATACAAAAGCCTGCACGGCAGACCCAGGGTTCAGAGCCTGGTCCAGTTGTCCAGTAACTGGGGTGCCCTCTGCAAGCATATCCTAATTGAGGGAGCTATATAAGTGCAGCACAACTATTGCTGGAGCAGGCTTGCTGAAAGCAGAACCTGTGGTCTGCTCACTGGGAAACACAGCTGCAGATGGCAACTGCTCATTGCTTCTAATGGATGAGGGAGTAAATCTGGAGCCCAAGCAGTGGTGGGAAGACTTCGGGCTTGTTTGACTGTTGCAGTGCCACATGTGTCGCTCCAAGAGCAGACGGAGTTCAGTGTGTGCACTTCCATTTTCTCATCTTTAATTTTAGAGGATGTTTGAGGGAGGCAGGAAAAGCAAAAGCCCTGGAGACTTGTCGATGGGTTTTAAGCATCGTCTGTAGGCAGCCTGTCATCAGAATATGAGTCATGAGCAGCAAAAGGAAAATGTCAGTCTGAGTGACAGAAATCCAAAGACATGCACTAGCAGAAGGAAAAAAATCTTTAAAGAATGCTGGGGGGCTCACCCACGCCCCAAGAGTCGTCTTTCCTCTGCCTTCCCTGCAAGCACAAGACAGACGTGAATAGCCAGTAGATTGAGGATTCAGTCCTTAGACCTAAGAGCAGAATTGGACGGTCTGCACATCTCTATTCTGAGGCCTGTTCTCTTGCCAGCTTGACTGAGTTTAGGGACTTGGCAGAGAGCCATATCTTCTGGGGAAGGTGGCTGGGATTCTTGCTAGGATTTTATCCGAGAAAAACTGCTTGAAGGCCTGCTCATCTCCTCGGCTCCTGGTGAGTAGAGGTTGGATTTGACATTCCCTGTGTCCCATTCTCTTCTTTTTGTACTGGAAGTAAGAAGCTCCTTCTTGCCTCCTTTGCTGTGGGCGTTCTGCTCTCTGGTGGTTCTTGTGTATAAATTCTTCACTTAAAGATGTTTCAGGCTTTGTAGAGTAGCTGTGTAATTGCCAGTCTCTGATCAGCTTGCAAATGGCTCTAGAGGTATGAAGCTCTGTGCAGGCATAGTAGGCACTGTGGGAGGTGCTTTGAACGAGCCGGAAACTCCTTCCGTTAGCACTGGGAGTTTTGACTCCTACCTGCCTCTGGGCAGCTGGGAACTCGAGGAGGGGGAAGCCCTAACTCTTCTGCTGGGTGTGGGGTCCCTGCAATACCCAGGGGAACATCTCCAGGCTGTGTTGCCTCAGGTGATTCAGATCAGTGGAGAAAAAAGACAAAGGCAGAAATCCTTGTTTCCACAGCCACTTCCTCTGGCCACCTGTGTGCATTTGCTAGTACATGTCCCTGTTTTTCCTTCCTCAGTCCTACCTGGCTCTTCTGCTGTCTGATCTAGCAGTGAAGCTGCACTGCTGTTCATGCTTCCATGGGACGTGGTAGCACAATTTGAAACTGGATTGCTTGGAAGGAGAAATAGCTTCTGGAAAGGTGCTGAGTTGCTCTCTGGTAATGTCAGAGAGACTGAAGTCATAGAGGATTTTTAGCAAAGGCAGAAGATGCTGAGCTGAGGACTGTCCTCTGCTCTCAGCACTGTTAGTAAAGGATTGCTGCTTTCTGCCACTGCACAACAGATTCCAGCTCTCCAGTGATGCTGAGTGTACTCTGTTTAGGTCTATCAGCTCCTGATACTGATTGTCACTTTGTCAGCTGTTCTTCCCTGTCTTGCCAAAACAAATTGAATCTTGTGTTATTTTCCCACCCTTCTCTTTGGTGGTCCAAGGCATGTGCCTTGTTCCTGGATTGTCTGCATTGCGGGGGGGGAAGGGGGGACATAACTGGCTCAACAGAACTCAGGCTTTGTGACCTGCAAAAAGTGGGAGCTCTCAAGAATCCGCTTTAGCTGTTGCGTGTCCTTTGGAGTTCCCTACA